AACTCGTTTCTTAGCATGTATTACAGGTTGATATTTTGTGTATAAATTATTTGGTAAAAATATTAGTCTAACATACCATTTTTTATACTTTTTGAATAGGTATGCTCCCTAAGGACTCATGTGTTTGAATGCTTGGCCTGTAGTTTGTGGCACCATTAGGAGACTATGGCCTTGTTAGAAGAAGTATGTCATAGTGAGGGCTGGTTTCAGGTCTCATATATGCTCAAGCTGTACCTAGTGGGACACACAGTTAACTTCCTGTTGCCTGCAGATCAAAATGTGGAACTGTCAGGTTCTTTTCCAGCACCATGCCTGCCTGCATGCTGCCATGTTTCCTGCCATGATGATGATGGACTAAACTAAACTCTGGAAATGTAAGCTATCCTCTGTTAAATGTTTTCCTTTGTAGAAGTTGCCGTGATCATTATGTCTCTTTACAGCAATCAAACCCTAAGAAATAATACACAATTTCTGTAATATACAGTTATAATAGAATATAAATTTACATGTGTTTTTTTTCTGTATTAAACTAAATAGCATGATAATTTTATTTAGAAGTTAACTGTTAAAATATGTAGATACAATTTAATTTTCTATTCCCTTCCAAGGTCTCTGAATCATTTCTTCCTCTTGAAAGAAATTTAATAGTCAGTTCATAATATTTAAGATAATGCTATCCATCTCCCTCCCCCTTGACTAGTTTCAATAACATACAACTTGTGTAGTTTTATTTGTATTACTTCAAAATTGAACACTTGAACACTTTATTGATCTTTTTGCTCAATATACCACTCAAGGCAAGCTCTCAAGTTCCTGTGACTCCTTTTGTTCTTTTGTTGTTGTTGTTGATCCCATGATTTTCTTCCTTGGTATACTCATTCTACATAGTCACCCCAACTCTTTCATGATTAATTTGTAAAATTATACTATAGTCTGTAGTAAATATTCTTTGTGTCATCTTCATTAGTGCTATTGATAGCAATACAGGGAGCTCTTCTTACTCTTTGGATTATTCAAGATTATTTTAATTTGTCATCCCATCTTTTCTCCCATTATCTTTTATGCTTTCCCAAAGACGGAGTCTATGATGCCTAATGGGAAGGAGCCCAGTTTTCCCATGCTTTCCTTTTTTTTAATTTATGTTATCTTTATATTTTGAAATTATAAGATAATTACATCATTTCCCTTACTTTCCTTTGCTCCCTCTAACACCTCCCCACACCCCTCTTTGCCTTCAAATTCATAGGCTCTTTTAAAAAATATTTTTACGTATATGCCCATGTTTACTCAATATGCTGTGCTGGCATGGAAAAGCTAACCACAACTTCTTTGCAGAGTTCAATAAGAGCCTTTTCATCTGGTGATATACACACTTTACAAAGAGCATCTTGAACTTTCTTGTCTGTGTCTGATCCTTTGCTTGCTAGTGATGTCTCACCTTACAGTCATGCTTACACATTCTATTATTATTATTATTATTATTATTATTATTATTATTATTATTATTGGCATAGAAAAGGCAGCTGTCTCAAAAGGATGGAAAACAAACTTCAAGAGTATTAAAAACTACTGGACTTGAATTATTTCTCTGAGAGATGTTAGTCTGACCAAAATAAATATCATTAGCAGGGCAATGAGGAGAAGCAGCTTTGAAGAGCACAAGCTGTGTTTAAGAAGGAAAGTGCGTACTGGAGTGGACAGATGGAGGCAAGTGTGAGAGCAGCCTTGAAGACCAGCAAAATAAGATGTTCCCTGAATGTGGAGGTTAATAGTTAAACTGATCCTTATTGTTATCTATGGCCTAAAGACTGTCCTTGATGCCATTATAGAAGATGTAGCTTCTTTGCAACCTCACGTCTCTGATCATAGTTCTTCATTCTTCTTCCTTTTTTTGTTTATATTTTCCTTCCACATTAAAGTTGATATGTATTAGCAAGATCAGGACTGGCAATCTTAAATCAGATGTATGCTTGTTCTGAGATTAAGGTTCAATCTCATCAGAGAAACATACTTTGGCTACACTCTCAAATAAACTCAAATGATAGTGGCTTAATAATACAGAGGTTATCTTGCTCACAAATATAAATGGGCCTTAGGGAGGTGAATAGGTAACTCTTGTTGAAGAACAAATGTATGTTCTATATAGAAGAAATTTCAGTGCAGTCCATTATCGGGGAAGCAGTACTTATAAATTTTTTACTTTCTGTAGCATAGAACTCAGTTACTTAGACATTTCTTACTCTGAAGTTGTCCAGGAAATGAATTCTGGCCATGTGACTAAGAGGAAGGGAAATTGAGTTATTGAAAAAATAGCTTATCTGTATCACAGTGGATACAACTGATGTATCTAGAGGCAACAAAGAAGTCAAAGCTATTGCCTTCTACTCATACATATGTCTACACACATGTATGAATGCATGGGTATATGAATTTTAAAGAGAAAAAATTCTGACAGACTATTCTTTCAAAGCATTATGATGTCTAATCTTATGCCATTATTTGAAAGTCTCCGTATGACATCAATAGGCTATGCTTCACTAACCTTACTTGATAGTTTGACAGCAGTGACTATGATATTACATATATATTTGTTTTACTCACTGTTTCTTTAAAAGGAGCAGAAAACAATTAAATCGCATTTGCCCAGGGATTCAAAAGTAAACTGATTTGTGGGTGGAAGTGATTTATGTATCATATAAATAATTTTTTGAGGCAACTGAAGGCAGCATGAAATGCAGTACAACCATAGCCATTCTATCGAGTTATTACAGAAATCCTTATTATCAGTACTTGCACTGCTAGAAAATTGAAAAATATACAACAGATTTGCTCGATGGTCACATAATATAGGCTGCAGTTTCTACATCAATAAAATTTACTCAGAGAAACAGTTTGGGCTAATTCTAATAAGTAATGAGCTATTCAGTCCACCCATTGCTGTGTAGAGTATATTTGTATCTAGCTCATCTTCCATTCTCACACCATCCTCAGTATTGCTGAACCTCAGCTCTGGGCATTTAATAAAGTCCTCTGGGAAGATTCAGCATCCGATTATGCAGCTAGTGAAATATAAGGAAAACAGTTAGAAATAAGGCAAGAGCTATTTTCTTAAAATATAGTCCCAACAGTCATTCTGTTGCAAGCTATTCCTACACACATCCTACAAACTTAAATATAATATTGTAGAATTTTATTATCTGTTACAGATCACTAGGTTTCAGGCCTATGTTGCCGGTCAATGTCTTGTGTGTCCAGACTTAAGAGACACTCTTCTTTTGACATGGACTTTTCCTTCTTCTGCTGTTTACAGTCTTCTCTGCATTCAGTATGTGAACCTGAAGTTAAATTGTATCCCAAGTAGAACTATAATTGCATTTGATGCCTTGAGTGGTGAACATCAATTAGTTACAAGTGTTCAAAAGGCTCCTGACTGGCAGGTTCCATTATTCTTGTGTGAGGATTTTAAAATTGCTTTGAAGGCATTTTCAATCATGTCAACAGGTGGCAAAACTTTTGAATGACTTCTCCACTTGTCTTTGTCAACACTCCATTAAAACCCTCATTTATCTACATCATCTAGCAAAGCATGGTGCTAGCATCTCTGGTGTGAAATTTCGACTTCTAACTTTTTCATTTTTATTTTCACTCAAAGTAGTATTGTAATCAATGGAGAGGGAAGGACTTCAATCACTACAAGGACAAGTTTCAATCAAAGTGCCAAACAGCAGCATCTAAAATTTTCACAGATGTACAATCACTGGGAATTCTGTGAAAATACACATTATGATTTAGCTGTTGGTAATCACCTTGGATTCTGCATTTCTTGTTAGTTTTCAAGTAATTCTGGTTCCAGGAATAACACCTTGGTAGTCTGTAAAACTAAGGCTTACCCACTCCTCTTAGGCATCTAGCATTCTTTTTAGTAGGATAAAGTCAATTTTGTTATTTACATGTAGCTTAAATCATTTTGAACATTTTTGGATCAACTGACATTGACTCATCATTGCCAAACCCCAAATCTTCAAATTGAACAGATTGCAGTAGGAAGTTAGCAGACCTAGCGATTTAATTCTCACTCCTATGGTCCTACACACTATTCTGGGGAACAAATAGGGATAAATTAGAAAATTGACTCAAAAAAAATGTGCAGAACTATAAAAAGATAGACCCATCCAAACATCCCTAGTATTTAATATAGTACTTGATGCACGCTCATTTTCATTTTGTGAATAAATATCGGATCAATATAAGTTTGATGTTTTCCATATTACACAAGTTTAACTATCAGATTGTGACTGAAGGGCAAAGAGGTCATTCAGAAAATCGAATCAGGGGAATAGGTGCAGAGAGTGTTTTGTGGGGAGTATGTGAATATATAATATGAAATCTGATGGAAATGAATGTGAGCTATAAAGCTTAGTCTCTAACTTTGAATAAGTGAAATACCCGGTTTTTAATGTTTTGAGTAGAGCCAAGGCCAGCATTATTATATAATAATCTAGTTGGCTACTATGTTCTAGGTACCAACTGATGTGGATTGACTATGGGAAAGGACAGTTATTGAGAAACTATTTTTAAAAATAACCTGCTACGAAGAGATCATGCCTTGTGTGATAAGATCAGTGAGAAGGGCGTGGGAGTTCATTGAAAATTTGAAGGTAGAGATGGATAGATCTGGTTTGGCTTTAAGGATGAAACATAAAAAGAAAGGAAAGTCAGTCAGCAAATGAGATGCCAGTGTGTCCTTGGAAAGTATAAGGAGAATTGTAGGCTGACTAGCTCTGACGGTGAAGCATCAGGAACTTAAATGTAGAAATGTTCAGGTAATTTATCGACAATTTAAGGCATCGTGTCATGTAGGTAACTGGAACTGTAGATTTGGCATTCCAGTCACAAGTTCTGCAAGGAGCTGTAAATTTGATGTCATCAACTTATTCACAGGTATTTCAAGGCATGGAATTTATTGAACTCTTCTAGATATGAAAGAAAAGACTTGGGTGCTAAATCTTGATGCTTCGAAACTGTTCAGAATACAAAAATATGTAGAAATGTGATGTATCATTGTCAACATTATCATTAATGATTAAAGTACAAAAGGATGGATAAGTTACTCATTTTAGGGTGTGGACTTTAATCTTAATTAATGTATAAAAATGCCTTGAAGATTTTAAGGAAAGAAAAGATTAGAAAAATACACAATACTGTTAGTGATTCAGGTGTAGAGAACAGAAGAAGGGATGGGGGTTATGAGTGGAGAGACAGGGCTTTTAATTCATAATATACATCTTAATTAATTTTTAATTATTAGGGTAACATTATTCTGCAAAGTGTATTAAATATTAATAGACTTTAAATAATTTTATTTAGTACATGTTAGTATATTTACTCCTAAAAGTAAGAACAAACACTGTCAGAATTCTAGAAACTTCTTCAATGTCGTTCAGATCATTTTGTTTTTATAGTCATCCATTCCAGAGGTAACTGTTTTACCCTGACTTATATTACACATTTCCTTCTTGTTCTCAGTAGTGTTGCTATGCATACACAGATTGCTAAAATGCATAATTATTTTTCAACTTTTTGAACTTTATGGGATCATCGCAACAGGCTGAACCTCCATGCTCTCCACAAGAAACACTTGTACGCTTCAAGTCTAACCCAAATGTAGAGATATTGACAAGAAGGGTGTTGAGGGATAGTTACATTTCAAAAGTCAAACTTTCATTGGTGAATTATTACTCTTAGAAGAGGCCAGCAATATGGTTAGATGTCTTCCCACCATGGGAGGATGTTATGCAAGCACTATAGCAAAATACTGAGATAGGTGTTCAGGTAAAATGTTGCTATTTGCTTAGATTTAGAGGCTTCAGTTCACTCAGGTAGGTCCTGTCAATATTGAACCTTAGTGAAGTTATCACATCTTGCTAGGAATATGTGGAAAAGCAAAATACTCTCTTCATGGCCAATCCTAAAAAGTGATTCAAGTATTGTCCCTTCAAGAGTCTGCCCTCAGTGACCTCAAGTGTCCTAGGCTCTCTCCCTCCCTCCCTTCCTCCCTCCCCTCCCCTCTCTCTCTCTCCCTCCCCCAACCTCTCTCTTTGAGATTCTATCATTTCCCAATTCTGGGGATTCAAGCCTTTAATAAAAGAACCTTTGGCTTGATTTGGTTTTAAAGTGCTGGGGATCAAAGCCAGTGCTTTGTACTTTGTAGACAAGAGATCTACAACTGAACTACATCCCAATCTCCAATAGAGACATTTTAAAGACAATGTGATACCTGAATTATGGCTGATATCAGGGAAAGTTGTCAGCTTGTCACCTGGAAGAAGACTCTCACCAAGAGCTCTGCCTCCAGATGTTTCTGCCTCTGCCTTGAGACAACTGAGAAATAAATATCTATTGTTGATAAAATGTGGTCCTTTGCAACAAGAGCTTAGACTGATGAAGGCAGCCTTGCCAAGCAGTGTCTAAACATATGTGATACACCTAAATGCCTCACAAATACCTGCAAGACTTAGAACCAGAACTTCATGTCCACAATATGAATTAGTGGTTTATTCAAAAGGAAATCTTTGTTCAAAAAAAAAAAGATAAAAATTCTAGATAACACCATGGTTTGCTTAAGGAAATGTATTTAAGAACTTATGAGACATCTCAAGACTTAATTAATGATCTTTTATTTGCCAGATTTATGAACCTAGAAGTGTGATGTGACAGACTACCCAATACTTCCCAGATAGAGAAGCCATACTCTAAACCACCACTGCCCCCTTCATCTTGTTGTCCCTCTTACCTTGTGAATTTTGGACAATAATTTTTTTGGTGGCATATTTTCTTTCTGGCTGGCCTGCAAATCACTAGAGAAACAAGACTTGCCTCAAACTTGTAGATAATGTGTCTGCCTCTAACTACTACTCCTCAGTGCTGAGTCTAAAGGCATGTGCCACCTTTTTTTGTAGTCCGAGACCATTCCAGAAAGTTAGTCAAAATGCAGAGAAGAGCTGACCTCAAGATGAGCAGCCCCAGTTGATGAATCCTTAACATACTCCAGCACCTAAGGCTCAGGATTATATCAGAGAGAGACCTACACTTCCTGGGGTCTGTCCCACATGGGGTGACTTTGGGGTTCCTGGTAGGAAGTGGGGCTGTACTTGATCATGTTCAATTATTGCTAATATATAATGTCTTTCTACTATTTTGATTTGTATCTGATTACTTATAAAAATGACAATTTTCTTTGATTATTCAGATTTCTTTAAGAAATTATCAATTCCTTAAGAAATTATCAAGTCTTTAAGAAATTATCATTGTCTCTTTGTTTTTTAAAAGGAATTTTTCTTGTTAAGTTTTGGGGTCACTTATTGAGGTTTAAAAAGGATCAGGATAAACAAATAGGCCAAATAGATGTTTATTCAGGGAGAAATAACTTACAACCTAGACAGATGAACACCAGCAAATTCCACCAGATGCTTTCCTCTCCACATCCTGCCAGCAAGAGTTGGGGTCAATGGGGAGGTCTGTGGGGGAGGCTTCCCTCTCTGCTTTGGCCTTGGAGCATTTCTCCTTCTTTAAGGTTTTTGCTTTCTTCTTTTTGGGCGTTCCTGAGGTGATGTCATCATGGTCGTGATTATTAGATGTGTTCTCTCGTTTCTCATTGTTTCGCTGCCTCTGGGAACGCTTGTTATTTGTCTTGTCTGCCTCAGTGATTGTCTCATTCTTGGATTTGTCCTGGCCGGCCTTGCCTCCGCCAGTGCTGTCACTGATGTCCTGGTGTGCATCGAAGAGCTCCACATGACTGTCCACATATTTGGTGCGGTTCTCCACCAGCTCCACCATCTCACTTATGATCTGGATCTTCTCATTGCCCAGTTCCTGGCTTCGGTTCAGGGCCCTCTGGAAGCCATGCAGCACCCGCCTCTTCTGGGTGCCATCCATCTCACACTTGAACTTCTCATTGTAGTAATCCAATTGTTTCAGGATCTCATGGTATTTGGCGTCGATCTCCCGCATCAATGAGAAGGTCACTTATACTTAGAAAGTGATTAACTTTTTTTATGCTATATATCTTACCTCTTTCTGCTGTTGTGCTTGGGTGTTAATTTTGGTTTTAGTTTTACAGGAAGGAAGTCATATTACTTATCCTATCTAGCTCTTTGAATCTATATTCACTTTCTTTTTAGATTTCTTTTCTTGCTTCAATCCTAAGAAATGTCTCCTCTGATTATAGTTAGCAATGAATTTTTTCCCAAATAAGGTTTAATATGTACATTTAGCTAATTATTTCAATTTATTTGATATGACATTATATGTAAAGAATAAAGCGTACATATCCGAAACATACTCACTAAAAGCCTGAGATCGCTTATCTCAGAAACTGTACTTGAGTATGACTTAAAATGTGAAGTTTCAGGCTAGAGAGATGGCTCAGCCATTAAAGGCTAGGCTCACAAACAAAATGTGAATTTCCCCCCTCTCAATGTAAGCCACATGACTATGATCTCTGCCTGTATGTTACATTTAAATATAGGGAAGAATTCCCTACCAATACAATGAGTAAGAAACAGATCTGAGGTTGACCAGTTGTACGCCTTTGTTCCTCAGGATATTTATCGTTACTTTATGATAGAACATAAAGATTTTTTCACAGTTAGAGCTTTTCAAACGGGATTGATAATTGGAGGAAGAAATAATCGAAGTCCTTCATCATCTGGCTGAAGGACAACATGGTTAAATAAAGTATGCTGACAATATGAAAATTTTCTTCATGTCTTTGGTTCATACTTGGAGCCTTCAAGATTCCTTGGAGCTATACAAGTCCATATTTTCTGAGTCTTTCTGTAAATAAATATTTTTTTTTTAACTGTATAATACTTCACCAGAATACAAGTGTTTTTCTTTAACTTCTGAGTAGTCCTCATCTGCAAAAACAAATAATTTGTTTCATTTAATTGAATTTGAATGGCCAAATTTGCATAGATTCTCATCAAGTTTAATGTCTTTGCTTGCTGTACTCTTAATGGCATCAAATGAAGTCCTAAGAAATCCAATCTAAGCCTAGGAGAAGAACAGGGATGATTTGGAATGTTCCCAAGATGGCTATAAAAGTTAAAATGACTAACTGGACTTAACCACCAGGGGCTTCATGTCATCCTCAAAGAAAATTAAAGTGTTACCCACTTTAAAGAGAAAATGATGATGAATCCATAAAACTGTACATAAAGTTGCAGTGAAATTTGAGTTATATCTCATTCATGCAGATAATGAAGTAAAAAGTCCAAGTAAACAAATAACAAAGATGTATATGATATTTTAAATTGAAATGTTTAAGACAATAGATTGGTAGCTGAATAAAGGGTACTCAAACCTATTCCTAAAACAGTTTTCCAGTACAAACAGACAAATCTACATTATAAGGAATGTTGGAATTAGATTTAAGTACATGTGTTAGAATTCAAATGCTTATTTTCCTCATTCTTTGAATAATTATCATTATTAGTATTCAGAAAAATAACTAATTAATTCTTACACTACTGATAGACTAGCTTACTGACATGCTCATTAATATTTCTTGGTTGTAACCCAACCAGTGTGAACCTTAAATAATCAAATCATTCAAGTAGGCAATTGTCTTGATGAATTTGCAGTGCATTAATAGAAATTCCAGTAGAGGGAAAATGAACACTAAGTATATATCATTTAGGAATATTTTAAAAAAACACCCTTTGTTTTTAGGATGATTTTCAAGACAGGTTTAGCTTTTAAATTCTAAGATTCTTGAAACCAAGAAACTGGATATTGAGCATACAGTTAATTGGCCCTTTGGCTCCTTTCTCTGCTCTCTGGTTGCAAACACATTCTGAGCTGTTTGCATGACATACTTGGCTTGCAGTTCCTGGAACAATTACAGTGGAATGTGTAATGACTGAGGATAATCTCACATGTTTTGCATGCATTTCCTTATTTGAGGAAATCATTTAGTACAATGTGCCGACTCGTGATAATTATCATTATAAAACAACACAAATACCACATACAATACATTTTCACACATTGGACAAAGCAGTGTTTTAAGAAACATGTGGACCAGAGTTTTGGTTAAAAATGAAAACTAATTTATTTTTTAGAAAAGTTTTGTTTTTTACAAGAAGTTGAAGATTTTGTCATATGGTAATTTACTCAAATATTCAACAAGAATTATTATCTTCACTTCACTGAATATTGAAGTAAAGAAAAAACATAAGAATAAAATTAAATGCTATCATATATGTTTATTGTTACTGTTTGGAATTTAAGGAAAAAAATATCTACTTCTTTTTAATTTAACATATGCTTAGGAGCTTGACTGAGTAGAAGTATTCTGAGTAATGATACCCCAAAGTATGACACTTTATTACACTTGGGGCTTCCAATTGAAGGAGGATGAGAGAATTGCAGATGTAAGGGAATGCTATCTTACTTTTGTCTGCCTGTCTCCTGATAACTCTTCTCCTAAAGACAGATAGATCATGGGGATCCATTTCTCCCTCTGAAGGTGGGTCATGGGATCTAGAATTCTCCTCTGAAAGAAGCCTTAAAATGTAGAAGGATTTCTGTTATTCCCATAATTCACAAGACTGAGAAACAAGGAGCCATGCCCCAACAATCATGCACTGGTATACAGAATCAGAAAAAAAAAATCTGAGCCAACAGACATTGCTGGGGTTCCCCATTATCTGTAGACCAAATGTAATACCCTGAAGTTACACACTTCTCTTACCAGATTTTGAGGAAAAGTATCACTTCACTAGGTGGTAGGGTCTTCATTTCTGAAGATTCCAATATTATATAAAAATTGGTTGAGTAAATTTGTTATGTATTTTCTCTTTTCATCTGTCCTTTACTGTAGATTTGCTAGCCCTGAATCTTGTGACTGGTAGAGGGAAATGTATAAGAATTCATACCTGTAGTCTAGACAGATTAGACAGAACCAGGTAAGATAACATCCATCAAAACAATAGAGTGAATTCATCCAGTTGAAGGTTGTTTATGATATGGGAGTCAAGGAGAGGTGTTCCATGCTGGATGTAGAAGATGATTGAGGAAGATAGTCATCTAGGCACAGCCTAAGTAGTCATCCATTTCGCAGATGTCCCTTGACAAAATCAGTTGTCCAAAGTCACACCCGTGTATCCTTGTAATAAAGTCAGCTATCTGATCCCTGGAGAAACATCTGATTTCAGAGATTTTTCCAAACAAAACAATCTAGGAGGGTAAGAGTAAATGAGCCATGTGGCTAATTTCTTTCTTTATTAGCTTTTTAGCCATATTGTTTTTCCAGCTCACTTCTGAGTCTGTTACTATCTTTCATAGCTCTTGGCCTTTGTAAACATGATATGGTATGTCTGGAATGCACCCTTCCCTCTTCTTTCCCAATGACAAGTTCTCAAAAATATGCCATCCAAACAGCTTAAACTAACTTCATCAATGTTGCACTAAAATTGTTGGTGGGGCCTTCCCCAAAGTTTTCAGGATGCTGAACAACATTTTTCTTTCCTTCATCAAAATGCTTTATGTCTCTCATTGCCCTTCTCAGACTGTAGGTCATAATTTGTCTATTCCAGATAGTGTGCTACCTAAAAATAAAGAGTGCCTCGACTCCAGGGATTTTCCTAAAACCTATCATGTTTAGTGATGCTAACAGATGTTTTTGCTTGAGTTGATAGATACAATCATTTTCATTCCTATAACCTCCTAAAAACAGCAGAGAAAGAGCAGCTGGGGGATTCTGAGCAGGAATTTGGAGATAATGAGAAATATTTAGGAATAGTAGTTTTAAAAAGATACATGGAAACAAAATTGTGACAATTATCACAGGAGGTAGCAGGCAGTTCCCATGTAGTATAGATTCTTCTAGATCTTTAAGAAAATCAAAAACCTAAGTGTCTGGTTCTTCTATTTTGTTCTATATGTTTGTTTGTTTGTTTAACCTCTTCTTAGCTCAGGCGCTATTAAAAGTCCCATAGATACAAATTGCCATTAATTAGAAATATACCCCCTTCGAAATAATCACCAGCACACTCAAGTAAACCTTAGTAAGTTTTATTATTTCTCTCTTACACTCTCTAACACTTTAAGAGTCCAATTAATGGTCTAAGCTCAAGTAATAAGCTTTGATATTTCTTGCAGAAAATTTTGAAACAAATTCCATATAAATTTTTGAGCAGAACGGTCGTTTTATTTACTACTTATTTGAAAGCCTGTATTTTATGACCAGTTAATTTTGTCCTGGATTAGTTCTATGTTATATCTAATTGTGGATAAAGATGTGTCATGTAAAGATGTATAGAAGGTCAAACATGAAATCTGTCGCATGAGAACTCTAATCTCAAGGGATAGGGATTTATTTATTTGTTTTTGTATATAAGAAAATACTTTCTCTGATATGTCTTATCTTACTTTCTTTTTTATAGCTTATTATCTTCTATTTTCACAGGTAGTATTTTTAAAAGTTTATAAATTAAGTGATATGGTATAGATTACAGCTAGGAAATGAAAAATGCTAAGCTTAAAAATTCTGCAAGCACACCATATATCCTTTGAATAACCTCACACTTTATTGGCTTTGTTTTTCACCAATGACCAGATCGATAAATGTCATCGTCCAGGAGCACAGCTTATCAATGGAAATGGGGCAATGTTAGAACTCCTGCAAGAACTTTGTGTGTGTGGTGGGGGGGGGGGGTAAAAACTTAAGAAGGTAGAGCTATGTTTTTCTTAATTTCCACATTGCTTTGACCAGTTATCTAGGAAGCAACTTAAGGGGCAGAATGTATTCTGGCTCATGCTTAAGGATGCAGTTCATCATAACATAAAGGTATGGAGACAGAGATGGCTTGTAGCAGGAACATGGCATTGTTTGCTTTCATTGTAGCAAATCATGAAGCATAGAGAATAGGAGGGTGAGGTTCAGCTGACTATTTTTACTCAAGCTCAAGCTCATGGAAGGATGCTGTCTACATTCAAGGTAGTTC